TTCACAAAATTGAGTTTTGTGAGACAGAATTGAGTTTTGTTAGACAAAATTGAGCCCTGTCCTGCATGGCGCCCCGTAGTACTGGTCGGGTTTGAAGTCTGTGGTAAGTTTATCGACTTTCCTCTGCCTGACCAACACGGTGTCACCCGGTGCTATGTCGCTCTCCCTAGCGTTTCTCCTGGCGTCGGCGTAGATTTTGCCTCCAATCTTTTTCTCCCAGTCTCTGTCCCTCCTTTCCCCGTCGTTCGGCACAAATTGACGGAGTTCTGGAAGTTTAGTCCGAATTGCTCTGCCGAAAACCAAGTCGCCTGGCGGTTTTCCAGTAACGCTGTGCGGAGTCGTGCGATAAGATCGGAGGTATGTCACTAGCTCCGTTCGTCAGTTTTTGCCTTCAGCGTGCGCGATCTTCATGCTTTTCAATATGGAGCGGTTTTGGCATTCCACTTCACCATTCGCCTGTGCCCACAATGGCGTGACCTTTCGATGGATTATGTTGTTCTCTGACAAGAATTCACCGAATGTCTCTGCTCTAACCTGTGGTCCGTTGTCGCTGGTGATGGTGAACGGTAGTGCGTGACTTGCAAACATCTTACTTAACAGCTCGATCATGCGCTTCGCGGTCACTGATGTCGTGATCTCCGCTTCATAGTATCTGGAGTAGTAATCTACGACAACAAATATATATTCTCCTGCCGGCATCGGTCCTAGTAGGTCGATGGCTAAGTCTTGCCACTTTCCGGATGGCAGTTCGGTTGGCAATACTGGTTCCGGTGGTGTCGGTCTAGCCACTAGCTGAAATCCACTGCAGGCTCGGACAAATTTCTCTACATCCTTGTCGAGACCTGGCCACCACACTTTTGTGCGAAGGCGAAGTTTTGTGCCGCACATCCCCACATGACCTTCATGAGCAATGGCAGTGACCTTTTGACGCAACTCTACCGGAATTACCAATTTGGTCCCTCGCATCACGATTTTACCAATAGTGCACAGCTCCTCACACACAGGTAAATATTTGGCCCAGTGCGGGTTTCCCCACTCGCCCGTCTCGATGCATTTTCGAACATGTGTCAGTTCGATGTCTTGGTGTGAGCACTTCACGACTTCTCGTGTGGTCATGACCCTGGGAGTTGCTTCGGTTGCGACGAATTAGGGATGAGTATTGCGACCAAAAACCGTATTGCAATATATTGCAATACGACAAAACCGTATTGCAATATTTTCCAATACGTATTGGGAAGTGTATACCATGCATGATATAGTAACAATTTGATGGTTTTAATATCATCATATATTGTATTATATGA